TATTATCATATATTTTAAATAATTTCAGTAGGTACCACCAAAATAACGAACATGTCTGTCTCTTAGCACCGGACACTAAGTCGTCCCTTAGCGCCGGACAGAAAACATATTGATATTTCTTGTGAGAATTGACGTAATTTATTCTTATTATTTAATTTTATTCTGTATGAGTGCTAACGGCCACTACATACCCCCATTCTTCGTATTTCCTAGTCAAAGAATGAAAATCTTATGATGAATGCTCCAGCTGAGAGCATCGGTGTGGTTCAGCTAAGAAGATGGATGAATAGCTACTTTTTTGCAATATCTAAGAATATTCGTCAAACACACATGTGCAGACATTACAGAGTGTGGATATGGCTACATATGTGTTAAATGCAGATTATTTTGAAATGTCCGGTACTAGGTGCCACTTTTTAAAATCATATTTTTGTTACCAAAGTTCGATTGATAGTATTAATTATTTTTTAGCAAAGGTTCCGTTTTTGTTAATTTAGTTTGATTTCTAACTTTGTTAGCTAACATAAGTCATAACTTAATAAACATTTCGTAAATTTTTATTTGATTTATTTCTAAATAACCTTAGGTGTCCGGCACTCAGGGACTTCCCCCTATACCTAAGACTCGGATTTATCTAATTTAAGAAAATTTAAAAACAAGTGGTGTATGGCCACTAGTTTTTAAATCTTCTTAGACAAGAAGAACTCTTTTAAACAAGCATTACATAGCGTTGCCATAACAACCCTATCTTATCGTTTATGTTACGGCAAAATTGACCAATAAGTTAGCTCGAAAAATAAAAATATAGACAAAAATAAATATTTCTGCAAATTCGTTTCTGCATTTCTTCCCACATTATTGCAATTCCATAAAACATAGTACTCCAGTCCCAAGTCTGATATGACTCCAGATACTCTTTTTCACACATGCTGCTACCCTCGGTACTTCATAAAACTCCAGCACTTGTTTCCACCGAGAGATCTATAATAAATTTCCTATCCTGCCTTTGTATTCTGCTCACATAGGCCATCATTTCACCCTGTGAGGATTTGCTAGTATTTTCCTGTTTTCTTCTCTTTGCGAATTATTTATGAGTTAATTTCAGTCTGTACACCGATTTTCTAATCGTCTTTTATACGTGAGGTTAATCTAATTTGGGTTTTATCTCGGTTCTCCTGTCTTGTCCGATACTTTTCTGCATTAATTACAAAATACACTTTACGCAGAATGGAGATGTTTTCGGCTTTTATAGAATATATTTGCTTTTACAATGTTTCAACTTAATTTGCTTAACGGAGATAATAAATATGGTGCGAGATATTTATGGTGGGCGTAAATATATAAGATTTAGGCGTCGAGAAAAATTTACATTCTGATCGAATTACATGTTTCATTTGCTTACAACTAAGATGACTTCGGTTTATAAGTACTGTTTGATCTTAAAAGACATATTTGACAATTTTTAAAATGCTAGAAATGTTAATACACAATGGGCCATGAATGAATTTACACAGCAATTATCATTGTGACAATAAATTATTGGTCAAAATTAATTTGGATATAAATTCAGTAGCATAATATATAGAAGTTAGAGCGTAACATGGCCTTGCCATAACGAATCGTTCAGAAGAATCTTCTATGGGTTCATGTAGGGGAGCTAGAGGCTATTTGCAACAGTGGTAAGTAGTCACAAACGTTCTCAATAACATCTTGAACAATATGAATTTTTTTGTCTCGATTGGACATGTGAACTGTCCTGCATAATAATAACATAGCTACAGTCCAACAGGAAGATGCAGTAAACAGAACTGTGCAGGTGCGTCATATTTGGCATGTGATATAAAATTGTACTATCATAAAATTTTGGTTTGCGTTTGGTTAAATTTTGTATATTTTGATTGCAAGTTTTGTGATTACTAAAGTGTTCAAATAGTTATCTTAATTAATGTAAGAAAATCACACATGGGGTTAGTTGGATCGAAACCTTGGGGCTAGTTGTAACATACAAGAATTATATAATAAGGTGAATGTAATGTATAGTTTGAAATATATTAGCACATGTAGATTGTGTTACAAAAGACATTACATATTTTATTTGTATTGATCAAAGTTAATGTTATAAGATTCAGTTCAATCTGACTAATTGCAATAAGAACATTTCAACAGTTCATTTCAAACGGAAATTTTTTCATGGAATCAACTTAAGTGAAAACTAGACAAGCAAAAGTTAAATTAAAAAAAAGACTTATCTGGCAAAATTTATAAGAAATTTAACTACTTCTGACAATACTGAGATAGAAACAAATCCTTTTAAAAGTCCATTAGAAAAATAGTTGAGGAAAAATTCATGATAGTTCGTCGTTTGTCTAAAAATAATTAGTCAGCAACGTGTAAATTTAAAAAAAAGTTACTATTTGCCTTCGAATATGTTACAACTAGCCTCAAACACGAGGTAAATTGTAACACAGGACTTATTGTAGAGAATTGTTTAATTGTGAAATAATGAACATTAGTTATGGAGTCATTTTTACTTGCTTAGATATAGGAATAGCTGCAGCATATACCCATCTTTATTCTGTAAAAATATTATCAGTAAATTATAAAAAAATAACATTTACAACAAGCCCTTAGCTCCCCTATACCATTTGATCTTAAATTGTTGTAAGACATGTGACAATTTTTAAATTTTAACAAATTTAAATACACGATGATCCATGAAGTAGATCAAATATCTTCGGTAATTTGAATAATAAATTAATAATTATAATACAGCTAGTTATAAGCAAGTCGAAGTAGTATTTGCTTGTAAGTCTTTAACAAGTCGGATCGTCTGATTTCTGATGAAGTCTGCTTTCCAGAAGAGGCAATATTCAACAGATTTATTTTTATGGGATATCAAATATATTTATTTTTATGGGATATCTCAAAAATCGAGTTATAGTCATAAAACAAATATACTGCTAGAATTAGAAGCTGAGATAAGAGAAAAGATGTCCTAGCCTATATGTTGAAAGAATAATTCACAAATTTACGAGTTCGCTCTTTTAGAAGAATTCCTAATAAGCCTTTGTCAGTTAGATAATTTTTTACTTAAAACTAAGTTCCTGTCATCTCTTGAATAAATGTTTTAAATAAGTAAATCTTTTTTTGGTTTTTATAATTCTAAAAATATTAATTTATGACCCATTCTGTATTGTGACTATAACATTTTAAGCTAAAGTATACTTACATGATATTTGATATATAAATAAATTACTGATACAATAATTACTAATTATTATTACTTTAAAGTAAGTTATAACTAGTAAATTATTAATTTATAATACTTACTAAGACTGAGATTTATAATACTTACTAATTTATAATACTTACTCTTTAGTAAGAAATCTATATAATAAAACCTATAGGAACTACTAATTGAAGAAGAATTAACTTATTCCTATTTTTACAGGTATTTAAATAATCTTGCTTTCTAACCATTTATACCAGAATGTATAAACCAAATGCAATAATAAATTCAGTTACATCTCATTCAAGTTTCAATCAATTACAAAATCAATTACATTGTTGAATCTTTTAAAATATACTTTGAAATATCGACAACAATATCAAATTTAAATTGTATTACATTACATTTGCATCTGTTTTCTGGTAGTACAATTTATCAAGAAATTTTTGTAACTCCAAAAAAATCAAATAATTTCATTACAATATAATTAAATCTTACCAATAATCATGTTGATAACTATAACTAATTATAATTATTTAAATTATTGAAAACTATAATTAAATAATTCTTGATTTGTTTAAACTTATAAAGGTGCACACAAAATCGCTATGACGTTGTACCAAAATTCAATTTTTGGATTTGATGCAACTTTTGTTTTTGCAAATTTAGAAAAACTCTCTAATAAATAATATCTTCTAAAATATATTATATAAGAATAATGCATTTTCCAACATAAATATTATTAAAAAAATGCTAAAATTTTAGCATTGACATATCCTATTATAAAAAATGTCTGCCATAGCAATTTAATGTTTCGTGATCCTATTTTTCAAAATACTTTTAAGCTTATTTAAACAACTTTATAATTTAATTGAAATTATCCACAATTATTCCTCGATTTCACCATACATCCTTAGCAAAAAATACATACATATTCTCTTATACACATGGACAAAATATATGCATGTTTATAGATAAATTAAGGTGAGATCACATAAAAAGATTCGTTTATAACAAAAAACTAGTGAGGCGCATGGCATCGTGCCTTAAGGCAAATTGCTGGAACTTCCCGTACCGTAATTAAACATTCGAGAAATAAAAATAAGTAATAATTGTTTTGAATAATTTCAAATAGATTATTAATTATAAAAACATACTGTAAATTTAAAAATGCTTTTTAAATTAGGCGACGTGCGTATTCTATAAACAACTTTGTGTATGTTTATGAGAATTTTTTTTTTAAATTTAATATTTTTTTCAAAATTTTGAAACTTTTTGAAGTTTGAGATTTTTTAAAAAAAAATTTGAAAAAAAACATGTATACATTTTCTGAGAATTTGGAAAGTTTTGAAAATATTCGATTTTTTTGAAAATTTCGAAATATTCTCAAATTTTTGTAAGAATTCGATTTTTTTAAAAATTTGTCAAAATTCAGTTTTTTTTAATGATGAAAAATTTCGAAATTTTTTATTTTTTTTGAAAATTTGAAATTTCATTGAGAGTTCATAACCGCTGGACCTGCCACCCTAAAAATCAGTTTTTCATCTTGTCAATACAAGTAAAATGTTTTTTGAATTATTAAAATCGGATGCTCCGTTCTCTTAAAAACTGAGTTACCGTTTTTGGCACTTTTTGCTGCGTATCTTCGGAACGGCTAGACCTGCCTTCGCAATTTAATACAAACAACTAGTTATTTTCATTTACCCTTATTATGTGATCTCAACTTAACCAACCACCAACCACCTCTCTACTAAATCTACTTCCCACTTACCCTGAATCGTATCTCCTCCCCGAAGGGCTCTTACAACCGCCACTGCTAGCATTGTTACTGGAATCTTCCTCGTCTTCTTCCCTGGAAGTCGATCGGGCGGAGGAGCCGCCTCCAGTGGCGGACTGCGGCGACAGGGTTCCGGTGACGGCGGTCGAACCTGCTCCGGAGGATGTGGGCAAATTGCTACCGTCGGAAGTATCCGGTAGCAATTTGACCGCGGACGCGTCTCCCTCGGACATTTCGCCAGTTGCAGGGCCAGATTTGTCTAATTGCTAAAAAGGGTAAAGGATAGTTTAGTTGTTTTGCAATCCAAAAATAAGTATTTTGTTAAATATTGTAGTTAACATGTTATCAAAGATTTTTTTTGTAATTGTTTGAACAGCAATCAGAACTCTTATATGTTCTATAAGCTGTTGGTTAAGGCTTATGACTACTTATTTCATGAGAGGCAATCCATCGATTTACCATTCTCTTATGTGCGGGATATTTTTGATATTAGCTCTTACGTCTAATAGTTAACATGTGATTGGATGTTGCAGCTATGTCCACGAAGAACGATTTCCACTTGGAATTAAATTGTGATCTATAACCCCAAGGGGAAATTTGACATCAAAGCTGCCTGATGTCAGATTACGGCGGTAGCGGGGATCGAACCACCGAACCTGGGACTAGTTGCTGCTAGCCCACGCTCTAACAGTTATCGCCACCGCCGGCCCATGTTATCAAAGGTAATAGATTTTTTAAATTTTCCAGACTTATTTCAGTAAATATATATAGGAAAGACTGGGCACAGTTGTATTACTTTTATTTCGATCAGCAATAATTCTGTTAATTTACCAGTTAGCTAGGAAAAAAGTAGGTAAATTAGATGGTGATTTAAACATTTGTCTAGATAAAAATACTCAAAAACTATCCTTAAATACAATGGACAGTCATAAAATCAAATCATACAAAGAGAGCGTGTGTCACAACTGTCCACACGCCCAAGGACGGTTGTGACAGTCATAGGTTAAAAATCAATAGGTATAAACACCAAAATGACTTTTATTGCCAGAAACGACTTTTTTGTCTGAAATTTGTAACACAACACAACATAATCATTTAAACAAAGCTTGTGACTAAAATATAACAATTTATAACAAAACATAATTTTTTAACAAAGTTAAAAAAAAATCTGCAGAACCCATTTTTTCTTGTATTTAATTTTCCCTTTTCTTTCACATTTTGACTTAAGTTAGATTTTTTTATCTGTTTAAACTTCACTCGAAAATAATTTGTCACAACCGTATCCACAAATTTATTAATTACAAAAAATTAAATTAAATAATTAATGACCATTTGATCGCCTGTACAACCATTTTTTGTTTTTATTTTTTTTATTGCTATTTTATTAATTTAACATTTTTACGGTTTTAAATGAGTATAACTTTCAACCTTGTGCAAGAATTTTGAGCTTGACTGGTGGTCTAATAGACTAATATGATGAACTTAATGACGAACATTGTATTTAATGTTTGAATGCTTTTTTTCAGCTCTTTTTTCATAAGCGAAATTCGTGCAGCTACTATGATTATTATAAAATTACTATCCTTTTAATATTAACTATGAATAAGCTTGACAAGAGCCTGAAATAATGTCTATTATTATTGATTACGGCTTGCTTATGAATAAATAAATAAATAAATAAATAAATATAATGAATGTAATTAGAAAACAAACAAAAAAATATCAATATAGATTGAGGTAGGTCCTTTTTTAACTTCCGGTAGGGAAGTGCGATTGCTTTCAAAATTTCCAAAATATTTCAAAATAAAAAATATGTTTTTTCCAAGATTTTGTTTCCAAAAAAAGTAATTTTTTTCAAATTTAAAAAAAATTAATGTTTAAAAAAAAAATGCTACGGAAAGTTCCAGCAATTTGCTTCAAGGCACGATGCCATGCACCACTAGTTTTAGTTTATTCTTAGATGGCTGATACATGTACTTTTTCCAATTTTGATGTATCTTATTCATAATCACTTGAAACATGAGACAACTTAAAACTAGCGAATCCGATTTTCAATACAAAATTTTTAGCAAAGCTAGACAGACCTGCATAGAAAAGAATAGCGTTAACTCTTGAAAAATTATTTATGGAATAGTTCATTCTCTGGATAGTGCAACAATAAAATATAATTATTTTACGCAGATCTAGAATTAAGATCCGTTGCCATGATAATCATTTCTACTAATATACAAGAAGTCCATCCATTAGTCCAATATTAAAACTATATTTTACAGTTTACAATTATTTTGTCAAAAACATATATAAAAGCATAATGGTGGCCTCGGACAACATGACAAATACACGAGATGATTAATGGAAAATTGCAGAGCACTACAAAATACGACTTTTTATCTGTCAAACATATTACTATACTAAATACTTATTACAAATATTTATACAAATATGAACTCTTTCTAATCAGAATAAAATGTTGCAAAAATATTCATTGTCTTCGAAAAAAATTGTGCTTGGCAAATGCTTTGCTGAAAAATAGTTTTTTTCGTTCAGTTTTTGAATCATATTTTTATCATATTATTATATAAAATGTTCAATTTAGTAACAATAATTTATACTGTTTATTAACAAGAATAAAGTAGTATAAACTATGAAGTTTCATTATCATCGGTTTTACTATCTGATCTAGTTACTAGAATTGGTGTTAATTCATCAATTAGGCCCTATCGCAGGATAGCGATCCTTCTCACGCAGACAATTAATATAGAACTGTAACATATGTAGCTGAATGTACTTAATTGTAATATGTACTTTGTATAGCTTGCTATGAAAAATAAATACAAAAAAAAAAAAAAAAATTCATCAATGCAATATGATAATCCTGATTTAATTAACAGGCAAATTCTAATCCGTTACGATACTTCATAGAACAAATAGTAAAATGTAATTATTCTCGGCACATCGATGTTTGCACGTTTTTCATTAATGAAATTTATCTGTTTGTTGACTCGTATATCACAATTTGAATCCTGTTTCATTTGAACATAGTTGTATATAGGCAATACTGAGTTTTAGCAAAAAACTCTAAAATACGAGTATATTGTTACGAATACAGAGCAATAGCAAAACTTATGATTATATATTAGCAAATATGTTGTATTACAATTTTTTATGAATTGTAAAAAAACCAATAAGTTCTAAAGCAGGTTTCCTGATACGATGAAAGAGAACCTCAGGTTCACTCTATAGTCAAAACGATCCTTTCGAAATATTACAGATTTACGAATATAACAATATTTAATTTGATATACGTCTGCACAAAATTTGTTATTTTCCCTAAATTGTAGCAGTTCTGCTCATTTTTGCCGAAGTAGTAAATTCCAGTTTTAAATGGCGTATACGAAAAATATTTAGAATAGAACTAGAAAATCAAAAAATGCAATTGATGATTTCAATTATCCTTTTTCAAAACCTCATTATTTCTCAACCAATGCAATGCCTACTGGAGCAAGATAATAAAACTTCTGGTAGGGTAAGATAGGAACAAAGGTCCAATTTGTCTTTCAGCAATTATATTGTGAAAACCAATTCAATGATATCACAACAAATACCACAGATCAATCAAACAACTAACTGACTATGATCAGTAAAACTCCCAGCTAATTCATCATTGTAGAAATATGATTTTCTTATTTTGAAAAGTGTCACTTGGTCCTTTTTGCCCCACAGGGCGAGGTAAAATGAGACAGCTAGGTGGCAAACAGATCCGATGACTGTTTTCAATTTTGAAGGGATCTTATGAAATAATATCCAGAATATTTAATTATTGCAATACATATATAAATTTTATGAGCACATTTTTTACAAAGATAACACTGTATATAACCTTGATCTGGTATTTCGTCAGAAATATTCATCAAAAGAGTTGAAATAACAATTCATTTATTAATATATCTTTTGTAAAATTGATTTTTTAACTAGTTTGCTTTTTTGTGCACTATTTTCTCTTGTCTCGCCTTTGCCTGGCTAAAGGTTTATTTGGTCCTTTTTACCCCGCCCAAATGTAAACTTTTATAGAGAGTATATAAAAAACTGGTGAATTTAACATAAAATTTACAATACATCTTATAAGGCAAATAAATAAAGTATACTTAATAATTATATTGAGGTCTTGCAAACTAAACAACAGTGCTCACAACCAAAAAAGTAACAACTAAATAAAACACTTTTTTATTGATAATTAGACATTGTCATTTATCTCCCGATAGAAACGTCGTGAAGAACAAGGTGATGGCTAATTATACATTTTTTTCCTTCACTTTCTAATATTGTTGTTAATAAATGCCTAACTTCACTTGTTTTTGAGTTATCGGTGGTGGATCTTTTAATCATTTCTACTCTATACAACAAATATTTTCAATAGAACAAGGAATCAAAAAATGCCATTTATCGTATAGAACGATTTCACAATATCCCCTGTCGGACAACATTCAGTTTTCAGTCCATGAAAATGAATACAAGACCAACATAATAAAATCTTATTGCTTGATTAAAAATGTACAAAAACCCATGTAGCGGTAAAATAATTTACATTTTTGATTGTTCTCTGATTTCAGGAAATAAAACTGGTGCTAAAACCAAAACCACCGTTTGCTGCTGGGCATTTTGTCAATCTGGATAAATAGTTAGCCACATGCGTTCACTGCCAACTGGATTCAGCCAAATCCTAAATGGGAAAGAAATTAACAACCACTATAACCGGATACAACTTAATTGCGAGAATAGTCGACCACTATCATCATCATAATTATTATGGAGTTGAAATTTTGGTACATTATCTATAGCAGTGATGGACGTAGGAAGAGATTTTGATCCTAATGTGTGGGATCGATGTAATTATCTACAACTGAAATCTAGTTTATCCGACCCTCGTTATACGTATTCGAGACTATCCGGACTACCAACCGCGACCAATTTAT